ATCACATTTACATGAACATGGTTTTCCGGCAATATGATCTGGCAATATAAATTAACGGTTAACTCTCCGGATTTCACAGAAATTTCTTAAAATGTAGTTACAAAAACTACACGTTGAACTTCTACTTAATGATTTGAATCGCCATGATATGATGATTTGATCCAGGGCTAAAGAGAATAGAAGGGCTGGTTCACTCCTTTGAAGTATCTCTTGCCGCGCCGATCCTCAGACGTCACTCTAGTGACGTCACTTTGTCGCAAAGCTCGCACTTTTACTTCAAGAACGGAGCGTTTGGCCTTACTAGCTCTAACTAATATTGGATCATTTCTTTTTGCGAGATATTCTAAGACATTTGTTATTTTCTATAATGACTTTCCTCAGTTTTTGCAGTGAATTTACAAGAATTTAAAACTATTATCGAAATGCCAGTTTGCGCGATTGCAACTTGCAAAAATTCTGATATAAAAACAAAAGGAAAAAGTATAATTTTTCGCGTGTTCCCTAAAGTAAATGAACAACTATGTAAAGAATGGATTCCGAAATGACACAGTTAATATAAAACAGCAATACGTTTATTCTGTCGTAAAGAACTTTTATAAAAATTCATTATCTAAATAGAAACCGCCTCGTTACTTCATAAAGAAAGGCAGGTGAAAAGAATTAAAAAATAGATAAAGTCAAAGAAAATTAAAATGTAAGTAAAAAGTATAAATAAAATATATAGTATATAGTTGAAATTCTCCTAATTTCATAACATATTTTTTAATGTAGTTATTCTAAATATTTATGATTTTTTTTAAAAATTATATTCTCTTCAATTTAAATATCTATATATTATATCATCGTAAATTTAAATGTCTATAAACAATTGTAAAATTTCTAATGTCATTATGAACCTAAATTATTATTTTGTTTCAGTAATTAGCGTTTAAGGTTGATGTTTCCTAATGATTAAGTATGAACAAATTGCTATTAACGACATATTTTAAAATCAGGGATTCTAAATTTAACTTAACTTATCTTTATAAAAGAATATGTAGATAAAAAAAGTGTCGATATATGCCTTCATTTTTCTTAATAGTTAAAGTTAAAACTGAACTTTTTAAAATAAAGTATTTATCGTGTCATTTTCACCAACTAGCAAAACATTTTTATAAGTTTAAAATGGTATTTTTTTAATATAATAACCAAGAAAGTTTTTTTTGAACTATGTTTATGAACGGAAATAATGTGTTAATTACGTAAAGTTTGAAGGCTAATAACCAGAAAAAGTCTAACTTATTTTTACAAGAGAAAGATGCAAAGTTATCATATCTTTGCTTGCGATCTCCGAGATCTGTAGGCACAGTGACGTCATGAGGAGGGAAATCGTAGCTTCAGCTCTAAGAGCGGAGTGAACTAGCCCTTGTATTCTCTTTAGCCCTGGATTTGATCGCCATGATAAAATCACGAAATCATATTGAAACAATCTTTAATATTTGATTCTAAGACTACAACTGGAAAGCTATCTATAGTGCTTTTGAGCACCTGTCAAAATACAATGGCTGAGCAAGAAATAAATTTCACTTTTCAGAGGATTCTTGAATGCGTTATATTAGTCCAAGTTTTGAGGCAGATAACTTAAATAACACATTTGGCATTAATTAAATAAAAAATAAAAAAAAACTACTATAAAAATTCTCGGATAGATGGCGCTGTGATAGGCATAGGTACAAGTTAAATAATAAGGAAATAGTATTAAGAAGTAGCATTAAAACCACTCGATATATCTTTACCCGTGTTCAACAACGTACAATAATTGCTGAACCATATTTTCTACAGCTGCAATTGTGGTGGCTGGTTCCAGTAAAACGAATTAAGCGCTTTTTCTTGGAACGTAAACATGGTAGGAAAATCAGTAATTAATCCCTTCAAGACTAGCAGGATGAGAAAAAAGTGCTCCTCCGCATACTCCGAAAGTATGCGCCCTAAAGACGTGCTATTACTATCGATGTAATACGAGACTACCGCATTGAGATCACGTCCGTGTGATCTTGTGATGCTGGAGTCAGAAAGGCTTGTTTTATATGGTATCGTGGGCCGTGAACCATGCATACTGGCTTCGCAGTTGCACTGTAATTCTTTTTTTTAATATTTAAAAAAAATGCTATTAAGTATCCTATATTTACGATTAACGCAGCATTTCACTACAGCACATAAAAAAGTCGATATATTTTTTTTGCGTCACGTAAGACGATTGCGTCAAAAAATCTCGATCTCAGTTTCAAAAGGCACATTCGGGCTATTAAGCTGCGCAGGGGGGGGGAATAAGAACGATGTCATCACCTTTGGGCTACTAAAGGATCAAATTTTTTGCTCATGGTAACCCGTGCTGATGCCTTCTCTCTTCTAGGAGGCATTTGTTTACATGATCAAAATTTTATTATATGACCAATTTTTACTTATTTTGATTAAAACATATTATGTTTTCAATATCTGTATATTTAGTTGATAAAAAAATATTCGAAATAAGATGTGGGTAAAAAATATGTGTCTCAAAATGCATTATTCAAGCGTGATTACTTTCTGTATCAATAGCTTACCTTGTTTATGTTAAAAATTTCAAATATTGAATTGATTACTTCTTTTCAGTAAAAGCATACTTTCATAAATGATATAAATGCAGAAAAAAAAAATTTTTTTTCAAACTTGGGTATTATTCAGTAGATAATAATTTAAAAATCTTTTTTGTTTCTACGTTAATTAGAGTTAATTAACATAATTACATAAAATTGCATATTCATATCTGTTACACTCAGATAATTTGATTTGCGACCACCACTCACTTAGAAGGTCGTATTATTTATTTTATAAAAAATCTTATAACTTTTTGTGCCTCTGCTGCTAGGACTGTGTATATGTGATCACTGTCCCAAAGGGAGTAATGCTCAAAGTATGCCATTTGAGTATTCATTGAGCATTACATCAAAATTAGATCTAATGCTATCCGCCATATCAACAGAATATTGCTAATAGACATGCGTTATAACTCACATGATGTTGTCCCACAGTGAATTGATCGTTTAGACACGGATCCCAGCAGAACGCCGAAGTCAAGCCTCACTGGCTGCGATCCCTGTGCCGGTGGGTGACCACTTTAATCAGTCTGCACCTAGTGTGTGTGGGTATTGATCCTCGTCAAACTGTTCTATCGTAAAGTGATCGACTTCTCACGCAGGTCGTCGTGCTACTGAAGTGGGGACCTCTACAGAGGATCGAAACTCTGATGGCATGTCTTAGGATCATCCCCAGGGATGTAACCCAGACCGTGGTAAATAGCCCATTGTGATCTGCGGGGGCTCAGATGATAGAGCGTTCGCCCTCCAAAGAGGTGGACCGGGTTCGAATCCCGGCTCGCACCGACCACAGTGCTGACGTAAATTATTCTCAGTGTTAGACAGATTATGAGTTAGAGTCCCCTTGTCGTCAGGCTAATCATGAGAGATTTTCGTGGACTTTCTTTCATGCAACGCAAATGCGGGTTAGTTTAATCAAAAAGTTCTCCCTATATTTGATCCAGAAGTTCCCTTGTCTTCTGGGTTGGGCTCAAAATTACAAGACTACGGAGTTGAACATTAGTAGTTGTAAACCCAAAATTGGGTCGGCTGTTCAATTACGGTTATTGGGATGTGGCTGCTATGTGCACGTGTCGTATAAGTGGGGCCACAGGAACACTGGTCCAAGGAAAAAAAAAGGTAAAGAGTCATGGATTCTTCACAGCTAGTCATTTATTTATCACCATTCAACAAAAACATCTTCATTGGAAAAAGGAGCACTGGCTTATCTCGTGTATTTCCTATCCGAGAACACGGGTCTCCTTCTCTGCATGCTCGGCTGGCTATATCTCAAAAATAAGTATATATATAATTTGTTATATCCTAATTACTAGATTCGCATAAGATGCGCAACCTTAGCAATTTACAGACAATCATAAAAATCAGAAAAACGAGCACGCAGAGAAGGAAAGAGACTCTTACAAAAATTTCTCGATCACCAACACAGAGCGTAAACACACTTCGAATGCTTGAATCATAGCGTACATCCGGGTAACCGGCTTGGCGTAACTCCCGGTTGTAGTTAAGATAAACTAGGTGCAAGGCACCGTTAAAATTAATGCTTTTAAATTTAGAGGAGAGCCAGACTTTATCAAATTTGGGTGGAATGTGATAGCATCATCACAGTTATAAAATAAAATGGCCCATTGTGCAACTCTAGTATGACGCAAATAAATTACGACTACAACAAGTCATGATGTTTCCCATTTCAATCCGCATAGACATAAAAACATTTTCTGCTCATGCGCTGTGGATAAAAATTATCAGAAATCACACTAGAGGGCATCGTTGAACTATGACAACTGAACTATAATTTCGAACTCATTACTATGCATTGTAATAGTAACTGTCATCGAAAATGCTTGTAGCAAAAAGAAAACTCTTACACTTCTTTATGTGATATCATTCTCTGTCTTTGTCCTGTTTAAAATATGTTATAAAATATAGTTCTTTGTTATTTACCACCTATGATAGTTATTTCGTTTCTAAATAGTTTTCCTTTTTTAGAAAATGATATAGTTAAGTGAATCTTCAGTGTTAAATTCGATATAAATCCGGGTAAAATTAGAGAAAAAGAGAAAGGGCCGACTAACGACAGTGGATTCTTGTAACAAAATAGTTTATTTAATAAATGTCAAAAGCGTCATTTAAATGTTTAATTCAATTTATCTCATTTGAGCTTATGTAATGCATTGCAGAACCTTCAAAAGTACGAAGGAAATTTCTTGCTAACCCTGATACCACCTGCTAAATAAAATCTTTCACCTCAAAAGCTTTGTCTAATGGCTATATCACACGAGAGAAAATATGTGCAACTGCAAGTGTAACTGCAAGTGTAAGTGCAACTGTAAGTGAAATTTCTCCAAAAATTGCTCGTGTGATATAGAAATCACGGTTGCACGAAATTTCTGCAACCGTTCAGGCAATTTCTTTCATGAACCAATCAGATCGTTTGCTTTTATGACGTTTCAATTTTATGTGATGACGTATACAAATGTAAATAAAAATGGCGGCGACGTTGGTGAAGAGGATGATCGGATGAAATTTTTTTATAGACGAAACGGAACAGTTTTTTAGTTTAATAATAACATTTTCTTTAAAATCAAAGCATTAAAAATACTTTCACACGATGAAATAACCATCTCAATGCAGTTGATGTACTACCATAACAGGAACCTGCACATCATTTTAGTATCGGTGAGTATAGTACACTATTTTCTAGATAAATTTTCTTTTAAAATATTTATTTATTTTAAGCTAATAAAATTAAAACTTATTATAATTTGTTCCGATCAAAGTTTTAATTACTTTAAATAGAAATAATTTCTATTTTTATATATGTAAAGATTTATACTGGCGAAAAGCTTTACTTTGAAATATTCGCCAAGCAACTCGCCAAACTTTGTTACATTATTATAACATAAAATATAATAATGATTATATTTCTTTATTTTCAAATTTTAAACTTTATTACTGTTGATTGTAAAAGCATGTGTCCGATTATTTGAAATTTTTTTATTATTATAATTATTTGTGAATTAATTATTTTATTCTTCCCTAAGAATTCTTTTAATTTTTGAAAATCTAAAATGCAAATTTCCAATCTCCTTGTCTGTTTCTACATTCATCCCCTCAATTCTTTTTTTTTTTGTGTGTGTGATGATTTACTAATGATACTTTACTTTTTATTTATACTTCACATTTATATTTTGATACTTAGCTTTTCTACAATGACAGTAAGTATGTAAGTGTACCTTACTAATTTTTCAATATACATAAATTTTTAATAGTCTTCGATCATAAATACAATCTATTTTTCTTAAAACAAATTTCAATCCAAACATAAGAACTACAAAACCAAATATACCTGCCATCTTTCATTAGTGTATAGAATAATCTTAGAACTCTAATCAAAATATCTGTCAAACTTAAAATAAGTTTAAAGGGGATACCTAAGGACTTAAATGATTTCAAATTAATGGTATTTAATCTCTCTTATTCTAATAATGTGTTGGTAAAATTTTATCATGAAAGTGATTTCTTTCTTTTATTTCAGATATTTCGTATAATCCTGTAAGGTTTGTCTGGTGAAGAAGGAAAGAGATGCAATACTGTTTTTATGAAAGAAATTAAAAAATAAGAAATGAAAATGAATAATGTTCTAAATGTTTCACTTGACAATAAATGTTTTGTTTTTTAAATTGATTCTTGTATTATTTAAAATGCAAAACAAAACATGTAAAAGTCTGTAACAAAATAATATGATACATAAAAAGTATGTTCTTAATAAAATATTGTTTTTTTTTTCATAGTTATAAATAAATTTTAATTTATATACTGTATATTACAATAAATTTGTCCTAAAATAAATCCTATAATTTTTAATTAAATTATCTCATATCAATAAAGAATGTTTTAAATTTTACAATAATAAATTGTAAGTATGACATTGAAAATCCTCTTATATTTAAAAAACAATTTTACTAAGAAATTGGAAAAAATAATTTTCATAAAAGTGATACTCCTGATATGCAATGTGTAAATGAATAAAATTGATGATCCCTTAAAAACTAAACTAAACTCAGCGGCACAGCCCACAGAGGGCCAAGGCCTTCTGTGCCCATCTCAGTTTTCTTGACCTTTGGGCTCTGGGATGCAGGAGCATTTGTTCCGGTTAGGTAGTCAGCCATACGTGAAACCCCCAGTGTTTAGCTCCCAAGTATGCTTGGTACTCATTTATCGACCCACTGAAGGAATGAAAGGCTGAGTCAACCTTGCTCGGCCCGACGATCGAACCAGGGACCTGTGGCACGACAGCGCGAAGAGCTACCGCTCAGCCACCGGGCGTGATGATTCCTTAATGCAATGTAAATTAATTTGATGACAATAAAATTCTGACACATTGTAGTATAGACAAGTATAGACATTAGTAGTATAGACATTATTTATTATGTATTTTTTAGACTAAATTAAAAAAATAGAATTGATTTGATAGAACTAATAGTTTTGATGTTATAAATATTTTATGAGCAAAAGGAAAGTCAAAAATTGTATATTTCATACATTAAACCCTCATTTCTTCTAAAGAATTATTTCAAAGGACTATGTTTTTTAATTAAGCTTAAAAAATTAAATTTGAAGAAATGCCTTACTTGTTTAGATAGCAATGTCAGTTGCATAAAATGGTATAAGTCATAAAATTGTCCTTTCTACACATGAAACTTTTATAAATTTTCGAGTAGCTAAACTATTAAATCAGACAGCTTGTTTTTATTCTCATTCGATTTAGCGTATACATAGATAACGATACCGCACTTGCCTAGCTAGCATGTTAGATAGTAAATATATATAAATAAACTATGCTTTTACAGGGTGCGGAGCCAAATTCAACAAAAAATAAGCAACTTTTAAGAACATTTTAGGCACTCAAAAAATATTTTTAAGCACTATGTAAATTGACAAAATGCAAAATAAATCTCAGACTTCACATGATCATGATAAAATAACTAGAATTTGACAAAGAACTCTTTTCTTGATTATATTAGCCATTAAAAAATGATCAAGAGATTTTTCGGTTCGATTTCAGAGGGTGAAAAATAAAGCCTGAAATTGAGAATATCTTGCAAAATACAGCAGAGTTGCACATGAGAAAGCAAGGATCTCACCGAACCCAGCTCACTAGACGCACATGCGGACTCGCAAGTACTTCACCAAACCTGTAAAATGATTGGCGCTTTCATACGCTATGGACTGACGGTACGCTGAAATTGATCGTGGTTGAATGAATTCTGAAAACGTGAAATAGAAAAATGTGAAAAACACGTTTTTACATAATACGTGGCGAAAATCGACATTCCCTTTCATAAATTTCATTTTCGAAAAGGGAAAATAAAGCACCTTTTAAAAACACCCATTAAGAAAAGCACCTTTAAGGGCCTTTAAAAAATGAAAATCGAAAATAAGCACCTTTAAGCACTTTTCAAAAACGCTACGCACCATGTTTTATACCTTAGTCACTCAAATCAAGATAAAAAAAATTGTCAAAATTCTAGATAGTATTTAAGTCCATCCCCCTTTCACCCCCTTATCCTTTTAGAGACGCAGCATGTATTTAAGTCCATCTCCCTTTCACCCCCTTATCCTTTCAGGGACGCAGCATGAAATTCAATGATATCTTAATATCATCTCATATTATGAGGTAGAAATCATAATCCTTTTTATACTATGCTACTTCACTATTGGGGAAATAAAGTTTTTTAGAATTTTAATTTGCTGCTGAAAAAAAGACTTAACACAAATACAAATGTAAAAAATTAAATCAAAATCAATCAATATTCTACAGCGTCTGTGATTTCTTTTTCCTCCCTTTACAAACATCGTTCAGAAACTATGATATAATAAAATATGATAAAATAAAATATGAGCCAAAAGTAAAGATAAATAACAAAATGTGGTAACCCAATTACATGCATCCGTTCAGGCAATTAAGCAACCCTTTCGGCAACTCCGAACGGAGGAATTGCGCTTAGAGTTTCACTTACACTTGCAGTTACACTTGCAGTTGCACATATTTTTCTCTCGTGTGATAGAGGCATAAGCTAAGCATATGAAGCATATCTAATTTCGTCTCTAATTTCTCTGAGCCTATTTAATTTTACTACTTTTAAAAATTATACCCTTAAATTTTATACTCATACATTTAATTTCATTACTTTTTAAAATATGTACTCAAATAGTTTCCGATGTGTCAATAAAACAATCTATTCATTTCAATAAAATACTATTTAAAATGAGCCACGAGAAATTATGCTTAACTTCAAAGTTAAATAATAATAATTTAAATTACGAAACAAACTTTTAGCTCTCTCAATGCACTTTACAGATTGAAATGAGAAGAAAGAAGAAGAAAAAAAGTGTTCATTCCAAAATATAGGAAAGCAAATAAAGGGGTTTAAATTGCACATTAATCAGATTCGCGAAAATTAATGAGTTTAAACACCTAAATGCAGAAACAGGATCCTTTTGATAAATAGGATTATTTATTCATTCACTGTTATTTCAGATTGTAAACTAAAGGTTTATTTGAATTGGACATGACAGGCGTGTTAAAGTAATTAATTGATCTGATTATTTTAAGCGGGGAGAAGATCTTATATTCAAATAGCTGAAGTTAAATTTGTAAATATTAATGTACACAAGGGGCGTGACTGGACTTCAAATGCTTTTTTTTTTTTGTTACAAATGTTTTTGGAAATTTTATTCGGCCGTTATAAATGTGGTACACTATTATCTTTCATTTGTAATGCTCATTTTTAGCGACACTTGCAAGTTTACAAATATAGTTTCATCCAAAACAGGACCGGGATAGCCTGGTTGGTAAGACGATGGACTCGTGTTCGTGTGAACGGAAGTTCGAATAAAGCCGGCAGAAGAGACCCGTGTATTAAATGGTGACTGATGCATGCTAAATATGTCGGGGTCACAAAATCCTCCAAATTTCCATAACAAATGAATACTGAATTGAAGATAAATCGTTTTCCGTTCTACGATCTGCGGATACATGAATGGTGTGTGAATGAGTCCTCCATTTGAAATGGGTTGTGGCGCATGTGGGTGGCAAAATCGTTTTTCTTGGTCGCAGATGGTGCCACTGAAAAACAAGAAGCTCACCCTCTGCCTTAAAAATTCGCTTGATTTCAAGCAGGCTTGCTAATATTGACAATTGGCATTTATAACAGCAACATCCAAAGCAGTATTTCACGCACTGATAAATTTGTAATAAATTAGACTTGAATGCAGGAATTGATGATAAAATATCGACAATTATCTATACTCCACCAAACGTCAAAGGTATAGCCAAGCTGTAAAGTAAGTAGTAAAGTAAGGTATAAGTAAGCTGATGAAACTGTGCTATAGAATTGGACAAAACTGGATCCGTCAGGTGAATTTTTTTTTCTGTTTGACCCAAAGAAATTTCTTGAATAAAATCACTTAAATTTTTCAGATTAAATTACAATTGAAATGAGGAATTAAACCTTCAGATCAAAAAAAAAAGGTTAATATCAAAAATATTTCACTGAAAGAATGCTAACCCAGTTTTAACCATCCTGCTCGAATAAACTCAATTATCTCCTACTCAATTCTCTATTTCGAGCACAGAGATTCGTTTCGATTGGAGATGAATGAAACATTCCTTAAGACTCCATACATTTGTAAGCAGAAACTTCTAGAAATTCCAGCTATTTCTGGCACTCAAATACTGTTTAAATAACAGCATTGTTGAGAAAACAAAGGCTTCACAATCCAACACTTCCCAGAAGAGAGAAGGCCTCAGTACCAATGAATTAAGTGATGCGACGTAAAGAACATAAACTGCTCAATGAATGTAAAATCAGAAAGATGTCACTACATTCGGCCAACTAAGCTGTGCAGTGGGGTTTTTTCGAAAGATGTTATTACGTTTGGAATAGTAAAGGATCTAATTTCTTGTTTACGGTAATCCGTGCTGAGGCCTTCTCACTTCTTGAAGGTATTGCACAATCTTAGACTGGTCAATCATATAACTCAAGTCAGAACAACTCCACAGTCACAAGAAGACTACTATCCTGCTCTGTGAGGCCTATTCCTTTTTATTTAGGTTTGGCGACGAAACCCCAAAACTCTCGGCCTGTTCTTTTTTTTTTTTTTTTTTTTTTTTTTTTTTTTTTTTTTTTTTTTTTTTTTTTTTTTTNACCCAATTTTGGGTTTACGACTACTAATGTTCAACTCCGTAGCCTTGTAATTTGAACCCAATCCAGAAGGCAAGGGAACTCCTGGATCGAGTATTGGGAGAAATTTGCCTTCGCAGAGAACATTTTGATGGAGATAACCCGCATTTGCGTTACATGGAAAAGAAGACCACGAGAACCTCCCGCTTGACGGCAAGGGGACTCTAACCCATGATCCGTCTACCACTGAGTATATTTCCTGTCAGCACTGCTTTCGGTGCATGCCGGATGCGGAATTCGTATCGACTGGGATTCGAACCCAGTTCGCCTCATTGGAAAACGAACTGTCTATCCCCTGAGCCATCGTGGCTCTCTCGTCCTCTTCGGGACGATTCACAAATTCTCCGTAAATATTGGTCCTATATTGAAACTGAAAAGTTCCAGAGCAGCAATTTCGTTGCCAAAATAGTCACCAAATTATTAAGATTATCGTT